ATGGGTGAAGGGCGAGCCGTTTTCAGAATGGGGCACTGGCTTCAGCGACGCACGCATCCGTCTTAAACGATTGCAGCGCGCTGAAGGTTGTATAGCGGTTCCTTTCCAACATGTGTCTCTCTCCTGAGCGCCGCGCACATTCGTTTTAACACTATGTCGGGCCTGTCCCCTCTACAGGGGGATTTTCGACGAAAAATATAGAATACCCCAGAAATCATCAAAACATCGTCCAGAAATAGTCTGGGGATTATTTTTGAGTATGGTTGGGCCTTTTTGGGGTATGTTTGGTGTATTTGTTTTATTTTTCATCGGAAATCCCCCTGCAGGGGGACACGCCCGACATAATTTTAACAGTTTGCAGGAATTTCAAAGCTTCGTATGGCTGAAGCCCCAGGAACGGTGCGCTGGCACGGCCGAGGGTTGGCAGGACGCAGCGGTCACGTTGATCCGCGGTGTTGAGATCCCAAGATTGGTGTTCTAGCCCGAGTGAGGGCTGTCAGGGCGCATGCTGAAGTTGATTCGCGCCGATCAGGTCCCAGGAACGGTGCTTGGGCGCGATCGGGAATCCTCAGACGGCTGTTTTCCACTTTGGTATTTCCCGCAGTGAAAGTAAGTTCTTCCAGGGACCTGGGAAAAAGGCAACTTGGAGGGAGGGTTTTTTGCACTCCTCCCTCCTCTTCATACTGCTCCTCTTCCTCCTCCTCTTCCTCCTCCTCCTCCTCCTCCTCCTCCCCCTTCTTTTCCTCCTCCTCCTCCCCCTTCTTTTCCTCCTCCTCCTCCCCCTTCTTTGCCTCCTCCTCCTCCTCCCCCTTCTTTCCTCCTCCTCCTCCTCCTCCTCCTCCTCCTCCTCCTCCGTGGTGCTGCTGCCATTACCCGCTGCGGACACTCCGCTGCCGCCCTCGGGCGCTCCACGCCCAAACCGCGAAAACCCCAGGGGGGCATCCACGGAGGCAGCGGGCCAGCGGAGGCCCCGCCAGGACCGCCTGGGCGACGCCCCGCGCACGGTGCAGCCGCCGCCCGGAAGGCTACCTGGGATGGCCGTGGCGATCCGAATGGGGCCCCTGCTCCCGATGCCGCCCCTCCCTCCCCTACCCACGCCAGGGTCTACGGGGAAGTGGAGGCGACCTCGGGACAGGAGCGCTGTGGACTCCGTCCTGAGCGCCCACCTGGGCGTCGCCAAGTACAGCGCTGCCTTTGCAACTCCTCCTGTCACCACCCGCGTCATTCATGCGCGCGCGAGGAGACCCGACCGCGTCGACAAAGGCCTGTCCTTCTCCGAGAAGGGGCCTTGCCTTCGAGGATGGAAGGAGTTGTCCTCCTCCTCCTCCTCCTCCTCCTCTCCCTCCACCTCCTCCTCCTCCTCCTGATCCTCCTCCTCCTCCTCTCCCTCCTCCTCCTCCTCCTCCTCCTCCTTCTCCCAGCTTCTCCTCGTCCTCGGCGCCCGCCTCGGACGCGCCCCGCGGGGCGGGCCCGCGGGGGCGCCCCGGCGCGCGGCGGCGCGTCCTCTCCCGAAGAGGCGGCGGAGGGCGGTCCGAAGGGCGGCGGAAGTACAACGAGGCCGCCTCCGCCGGCGGAGGCCGGCGGAAGGCTGGCCGAAGGCGGCGGAAGTGCAACACCAAATAATATAATAAAAAGCACAAAATAATAACACATAAAGAACATGATAATACAACAACAAAAAAGATGCGCCCCCAAGAGGTGAAAGCGTTTTTGGGTTCAGGGCTTCCGAGCTCGCCCACACGAAGAACCCCCCGCCCGAGGCGCATGCAGGAGCCCCGACAGCCAGACCCCCAGATCTCCTCCTACCAGTGATTCCAGTGTGTCTGAGACTCTTCCGTTGGCCCCCTCCCCTTATCCGCCCGCAGCCAGGGCTCGCGCGCAGAGCAAGCCGCGATGACGCCAGCATCGTCGACGACCTGCACGACGGTTTCCATACCCGCGAGGGGCATCGGGTCGCCGCGCGCGGAGCAGCCCGCCAGAAGCGTCAGCGACCTCCTGCAGGAACAGGCGTTGCGCCTGCAAGCCTTGCCCATGAACTGCACGGCAGCGAAGGAGCCCACCCGTGGCCTTCGACGGAGACTGGCCCTCCCCAGGGGCCTCGACCGCCCTTTCCCCTCGGGAGCATGCGCCCCGCTGCTTCCGCCGGTGTCCGCCGGCCACCCGCGAGCATGCCGAGGCCTGTCGCTTGCCGAGGTCACCACCGTCCGCTGGTCTGCCGCCAGCCTGCGTTTCCGCCAGCGTCCACTGGGCTCCACCGACCTCCCCTCACGGCGGACCTTCCGGCGCTTCGATTCGGTTCCCGGCGCGCTCCTGTTCTCGAAGCGAGTCCGAAGTCGAGCGCCCCGATGTCCGCCCTCAGGGCGGCGTCTCCGCTCATGGCCTCTCGAAGTCCGGGGATGGGGCCGGCAAGCTTTCGGCGCGCGGGGCGGCCGTTGCGACCTCAATCGCTGACTAGGGCTGTGCGCGGCGCGCCTTCGGTTCGGATGCTTTGGGGGGGGGGGAGGAAGGGCCGGAGGACGGAGGGGGGGGGTGGGAGGAGGACGGAGGACAGAGGGAGGGAAGGAAGGGACGGAGGACGGAGGGAGGACGGAGGGAGGGCAGGAAGGAAGGAAGGGACGGAGGACGGAGGGAGGGCAGGAAGGGAAAACGCACGTGGAGGCCCCCCCACGGGCGAGCGGACGCCCTGGACGTGGCCGAGTCCTCCGTCCGGGCCCTCCCGGAGAGAGGGGCGGGGGGGGAGGGGAGGGGGGCAAGCTAGGTGCGCTCGCGTCATATCTGACATCCTACCCCACCCACCCATCCCTTACCATGGCGCAGATCCCCTCTCTACTCGCACAGTCGGATGTCGAGCAGGGCAATGATCCCGAAAGGGTACGCGATGCATTGTAGAGCACGGCATGGCATGGCGTAGAAGAGCACCGCAAAGCGTAGTATCAACCTAGCATTGCATTGCATGCCGTGGCATGGCACGGGAAATGACGCCAGCGCTGCAGCGGGAGCACGAGTCGAAACGAGCGGAAGCGCGGAAATGAGGCCAGCGCTGCAGCGGGAACACGATTCGGAACGAGCGGAAGTACGGAAATGAGGCCAGCGCTGCAGCGGGAGCACGATTCGGAGCGAGCGGGGCCCGAAAATGAGGCTGGCGCCTCAGCGAGAGCAGCATTTTGAAACAGTGCGCGGGGGGGTCGGACATTTTCAAACCGTCATCAGGGGAAGAGGGAGAGTAGTATTCATATCGAGTAATTGTAAAGGAGGGAGAGGAAGTGGAGGAGGGAGAAAAGGAAGGGGGGAGTGACCCCCTCACTCCCCTCCCCCTCTCCTTCCGTCGCGCCCTCCCTCGGAGAGGACACGAAGGGGGGATGGGGAAGACGAGGGAGGGAGGGGGGAGGGGGAAGGGGGGGGGGACGCAGCAGAGAGGGCGTAAAAGCAGCTAGAAGCAGTAACGAGCAATAGGAAGCAGTAGAAAGCGATTTCAAGCAGCCACGACAAACACCAACAATTGTGAAATTAGCACAGAAAACACACCAGCAACTCAATCAATCATACGTTTCCCTTTTTTTGTTGTCTTTTTTTCTGCTTGTTTCTGTTTCTGTTTTTTCCTCTTTTTATGTGTGTGTGTGATTTAAACAGCTTGTTACTTGTTCCTGCTTTTAACTGCTTTTTACTGGTTTTACGCCCTCTCAGCCGCGTCCCCCCTCCCTTCCCCCTTCGCCCCCTCTCCCCCTTCCCCATCCTTCTCCCCCCCTCGTGTCCTCTCCCTTCCCCCCTCCGAGGGAGGGCGCGACGGGAAGAGAGGGAGAAGGAGGCGGTCACTCTTCCTTTTCCCCCTCCTCCTCCTCCTCGTCGTCGTCGTCGTCGTCGTCGTCGTCGTCGTCGTCGCCTCTCCCCCCTTTCCGAGGAGGGGGGGGCTCCCCCCTCCCCCCCGGGTTTGAACCAAGGGGGGGGGGGTGAGTTTGCCCTTCCCCCCACGGGTTTTTTGAGGGGGGATACTTTGTCCAAGCAATGGCGCCCGCGAAGCGCGTCTTCTCCGAGATCGAGCTCGTCTCCTCCGCAAACCGCCTCGCCGACTGCCAGTACTACAACCGCAATGTCATTCCTCTACACCTGTCTGCACATATCGGGCCGGGCGAAAGGGGGGGATTGGGAAAGGGGGGGGTTACGAGATTTGCTGCATGCAGCTGGTTTCGGCCCAACCGAGGGGCCCATTCCTCGATACATGGCCGCCTCCGGCGCCGGGAGGCGCCGGGAAAATCAGCTACGTGAGCTGATTCCAAACCCCCCCTTTCCTAATCACCCCCTTTCGCCCGACCCGACTGTCTGCACATATCATGTGACAGTAAAGCCACGACGCTATGCTTAAGTCGGGCCCGTCCCCCTACAGGGGGATTTTCGACGAAAAATATAAAATGTCCCAAACGTAGTCAAAACATATTCCAAACATAGTATGGGGACTATTTTTTTAGAATTGTTTAAAACCTTTTTGGTATATTTTTGGTGTACTTTTATTTTTCTTCGAAAATCTCCCTGTAGGGGGACACGCCCGACATAACTCTATACGTGTCATTACGACGGAAAGCCTTCCAGAACAAGCCCCAGCGAAAAGCCGCCGCCCCGGTGGGATTTGCAGTCAACCCGCATAGCAAGGGTGAACAGCTTCCCAAGCCTACCTTGCATCCTTGCCCCCTCGGCCCGTCCTTAGCGACTTCTGGTGGCCAACCTCTTTCGAAAAACATTATCATGGACCTCCAAGGCACTTGCATCCTTACGGTGCCGCCTTATCCTACGGGTTGACTTCGGATGGACTCGAACCCTCCGTGCCCCCCTGTGGCGGACGTCATGTTTCTCTTCCGGTAGCGTTATGCCGGGCGTTATGTCGGGCGTGTCCCCCTACAGGGGGATTTTCGACGGAAAATAACGAACACCCCCCAACTACCCCCAAAAGGTTAAAACATACTAAGAAAATAGTCCCCAGCCTATTCGTGGAGTATGTTTTGACTACTTAGGGGGCATTTTTTTTCCGTCGTTTACGCGCGCGCGCCCCCCTCTCCGCGAGGTACTTCTTCTTCTCCTGGATTCGCCTGGTGAGCGGGGGCTGGCCGTTGCCCTGGGGCGCCGGGCCGCTCTCTCCGGGCCGGCGGGGGTGCAGGCCTGTCTGGGTGCCGTCACGGATTTTGTCCACATGTGCAATGTTTTGACACGTTTGTGTATCTAGACATATCTACCTGGTGTACCTCTACCCCCCAGACGTCGACCTGGTTACGTCCTTCCGCACGCAGCATTTGAGGATGGTGATTTTGACGCGCCGTCGACGGCAACACCACTTCGCTCTCCCTCCGGGACTTCGCCTCCGGCTCCTGTCCAAGGCGTACCTTTTCTTGTGCAAGCTCCTCAGCACCGCCTGCACCCCGCGCCCTCCGGCCGCCTGAGGCCCCACCCGCCCGCGCCCTGTCTCCCCAATTAGTGCTTCGCGCGCCCCGCCTAGCTCTTAACCGGAAGGGGCCCGCTCCCGACCCGCCGACCAAAAAAGTGTGTCTAGATATATGCACATGTGCATAGGGACTAACACGTGCAGATGTGCACGTGCACATGTGCAGATCGACGCATGCAGACATACGTACGTACCTATGGCCCCACACACATGGTTACATATGTATAGGCATGCGTGCAGGCGCGTGTATGTAAATGTGTATATATATATATACCGTATTCTGTTCACAGGTTTGTGTATGTACATGTATTTGTACACGCACACGTCGACATACATATCTATGTAATTATGTATATGCATCTATACACTTAAACTTACATTCACACATCTACACCCATGTACAGATGGTGCGCTCCAGAAATGGCCTCGTCAGCCCCCTTCTCCGTGCGGGCGGAAGGCCGGCGGCAGGCTGGCGGCAGCCGTCGGCACTAAGAGTGGCGTCCCCAAGAGGTGACCATGCGGATGGACCGAGGTACAATCGGTGGCGAGCCAGGTGGGGACGTGAGCAGGAGACATGGTCGAGTATCGACATGCTCTTGTCGTGAAAGAAGCACGACTGGAGGTTTTTGGTTTTGTTCGACCTCGGGGGGCACTCGCCAGGCCCCGGGACTGTCAAGGAAGGGCTCAGGATGAAACGCCGGCCCCCGGGAAAGGGTCGGGATCTCGGGTGACCGCAACTTGACAAAATCAGGATTCCGCATGTGTGGACACCCAGCGTCGCGGCGAGCGAGGGGGGGAAGTGAGAAGGATCAGGCCTTCCCAGAAGGCGGCGGGACTTCTCAGCAGCCCTCGCGGCTTTGAGAGGTTTTCTGTGTCTTCGGGGCAGGCCAAGAAGACTTCTCAGAAGGCCAGGGGACTTCCGAGCCTATTGAGAAGGCCCGCCGTTTCTCACTTCCCCACCTCGCTCGTCGCCGATGTGAGATCGAGGTCAGCTCGGGGAAGGTGCCCTGATGTTCTTCGTGCTGGTTGGATTTTCTTGTACATCCTGGGGGAGGCTGCCCTGGGTGATATCTCATGGTTTGGGGTGTTTTGGCTGGCGGAGAGTCCCATGTTCTTGAAGGATGTTCTTATGTCGTGGGTCCGACCGTATTTTGGTTCCATGTAGCAATGATGTGTAGCTAGGTGTGTGAATCTAGTATATATATAGTTATATGTACGGATTTGTTGTATACAGATGTGTATGTGCATGTGTGTGTGCACGTAGGCGTGTATGTGTACATGTACGTGGACAAACATTATGTGTGTGCACGTCGGTACGTAAGTGTTTGTGTACGTGGGTGCACACGTATATCTATGTCTGTCTGTCTGTATGCACGGATGTAGTTATGTATATATTTATGTGTGCATGGTTCTACGTATGTAGGTCGATCGACATATCTGCATGTATGCATGTATGTGCGTATGTACGTACGTAGTATGTAAGAGTACACCTGCATAGTGTTATGCCTACTTATATATATGTTTGTATATATAGATATGCATATGTATGTGTATGTATGCATGTTTGCATGTATATATACATGTATGAATATGTCTATGTACACGCGTGTTTGTATGCATGTATGTAATTATGTATGCATGCAAGTATGGATGTAATGTATGTATGTCTGTCTGTCTGTCTGTATGTATGTATGTAGGTATGTAGGTATGTATGCATGTATGCATGTATGCATGTATGCATGTATGCCTGCATATCTGCATGTATACCTACATGCATACATGTATGCATGAATGCATGTAGGTATGTATGTATGTACGTATGTCTGCATTTATGTATGCATGCATGTCTGCATATTTGTATGCCTGTACGTATGCACGTATGCACTCAAACACGAGTGCATGTATGCACGCATTCATGCCTGTGTGCATAGATGTATGGGTGCAAACACATATAGTTACGCATGCAGATGTGTGTACTCGTGTGTATGAAATGGCGGCTCTCCTTGCGCGTCGATCCAGCGTCGGTTCGCAAGAGCCGATCATACTGTATGGGAGGCCCCCATGAGTTCCCACGGGAAGCAGCAGGAGGAGGCGCTAGAAGCTGGGCCACTCACCCCGAGCGAGCCCGCTCGTCGCGGACAGCGTGCCTGCTCGCCTGCGGCGCGCACCGCGTTGCCAGGGTGGTTTCCCGATTGGGCTTGTCTAGTCACGAGCTGCCAGCGAGGAGGAGGAGGAGGAGGAGGAGGAGGAGGATGAGGAGGAGGAGGAAGAAGAGCAGGAGGAGGAGCAGGAGGAGGAGGATGACGAGGAGGAGGAGGAGGAGCAGCAGCAGGAGGAGGAGGAGGAAGAGGACGAGGAGGAGGAGGAGCAGGAGGAGGCGAGGCGAGCAACAAGCTGAACCACCACAGCGGCGTCATCCAGATCGTGCTGACGGTCTGCTGCGCCTACTGGACCTCGGCCTCCTCCTGCCCCTGCCTGCTGGTCTCTGTGCCTGCATCAGCCGTCGCTCGCCCCCCAGCCGCCCGCCGTTCCCCCCCTCCTCCGCCCGGCGGGGCCTCGAACTGCCGCTCAGGTTCCCGGTTTGGCATCCTCCGCCGCTGGGCCTCCTCCCACCTTCGTCTTCTTCTCTTGTCGTCGTCGCCCCCCCCCTCTCCAAGCCTTACCCTCCCCCCCTCCCGCCCCCCGGCATCGCTCGGACGTGTGCATTTTTTTCTCGGGGTGCAGAGCCGGCCCTCAGGAACAGGTCGAGACTTCTGGGGGGCCCGCGCTGAAAAGTTACGGCATCGGATCTCCTGGGTCTTGGCGTCGTGTTCTTTGTTTCGCGACGGTCTGTTATTGTCCGCCGACCCGGCTCGAGCAACACATGCAGCAGCAAGGTGGGGTCCGGGCGCCGGCCGAGTGTCCCACGATGCGGTTTCCTCGTGGTGGCGGATTCCGGGGCCGCGAGTTGTCGGTTCCAATCTGGGGGGGGGGGGGTAGTGGAAAGTGGGCCGCGAGGTGTCGGCTGCGCCAGCTTTTGGGCGGGGAACGCCCTCGCCCAGACATCTGCAGGTGTGGTGTTGTCCGCTCCGTGGCCCCAGGAACCCCGACGGCTTCCCCGGGGCACCCTCTCGCCTCCGGATCCGTTTCCGATGCTCCGTGGGTCCGAACATGGCTCCCGAAGGCAGCAATCGAGGAGCACCCTTCCCCGGGTACTGTCTCATCTCCTGGTCAGCTTCTCATGCCCCCGAAGGCCGAGATCGAGGAAAAGCCGCCCGCCGGCTGGAGCAGCACAGCTGCTCCTGGAGGCCTGAGCTGGGTCCCGTGGGGGGTTCCGTGCTCCGCCCGCCTTGTCCCTGGGGGGGGATTGGGCCGCGCCTCGGCGACCCCCCCCCCTCTCCCATGCCGAGCTCGCGCGACCGCCTATCGTGATCGTTTCCTCATTCATTGTTTTGCCGATCGGCGCGGGCCCTGGCCCTTTTATCCCCCCTTCCCCCCCCCCCTGTGGAGTGGATCTTGGCTGTTTTTGGCGCCTGTTTCAGTCAGGTGGAGTCTCCTCCATGGGATGCACTGTTGCAAACAGCTGCGTTAAGCGGAGGTCCCGAGCCAGACCCCCCTCCCCTCCCCTTCCGCCCAATGTCGAAACGCCGAATAAGAAAACGTTTACATCCCTGGAACGATCTGGCGAACGCAGGGCTGACCAATTGGACATCAGAGGGGTACTACGCAATGATAGCGATGCGTTGCGCGAGCTGTGTACGATTTCCCCGGCGTGCAATGCTCCTAAGATTCCGCACAGGCTCCAGGAACCAGAGCTTCGAAATGCTCCAGCATTCTTGGAACGTGTCCTGAACCAACCGTATCACGATGTCGTCCTCGCCCCGAGACTTATGATGCTCCAACCCATTTTAGCCTTGATCACCAGGAATAATTTCGAGCGCCCAAACAAGTACCGATACTCAAGGGTTTTCACGTGCCGGGCCCTGGGAGACACTCGCCCGACACTGTTTCGACACTGTTTCGACACTCTCTTGACACTTTTCTGGGTGCTCGAAATTATTTCTGGGATGCGGTCCTTAAGTAGGACGGGGACAACATAATCCTCGCCCCGCGACACCCCAGATCTCGGACGATCTGACCTTTTCAACCCCGGCGCTTCTTCTCGACTGCGGCCTCTGGGTCCCGCTGGCGGTCCCCAGGGCCATCAGGCACAACTCCGAGACAAACAAAGACGCGCTCTCACTGGCGGGGTCGGGGTGTCCTGCCTTGGGGGCCCACGCGCTGAAAGCACCACGTCGTCGGATGCTCTGGCCCGCAGCTCACTGGGGCGACACGCTTGGTAGCGAGCACCGCCGGCACCCCTCAGCAGAATCGAGCAAGGCACACCATAGGGAGTTCCACCGAAGACGATGCCCACATCTGAGTCACCCACAACTGCATATGGTTGGGTCCTTCGCCAGGCTAGTTTCTTTTTGTTCCTCCTCCTCCTCCTCCTCGTCCTGCTCCTCCTCCTCCTCCTCCTCCTCCTCCTCCTCGGCCCCTCAGCAACATGACTTTTTGTGGGGTTCCGAGCGGATTTTTTTATGTTCGCTGGTGCCCCAGGCGCGCTCCGCACGCCAAGCGAGGGGGACCCAGCTCCGATCCGAGCACCCCTCGCTCGGGAGGGGACAAAAACACACAGACTCAGTTAGTCATCGATTTCCCGGAAAATATGGGAAGATACGGGAAGTCGGGGGGGAAGACAAGCCCCCAGAAAATATCAGGGAAAGATGGGAATCCTGTTATTTGTGTGTATTTTTTTGTGTGTCCCAGGGCCCCTTCAAACATGACTTTTGGGGGTTCCGAGCGGATTTTTTTCGATGTTCGCTGGTGCCCCAGGCGCGCTCCGCACGCCAAGCGAGGGGGACCCAGCTCCGATCCGAGCACCCCTCGCAGACCTCCAGAAGCTCATGTTTCAGGAGGGAAAAAACACACAGCCACACTTAATCATCGATTTCCCGGAAAATATGGGAAGTGGGGGGAAGACAAAACCTCAGAAAAGATGAGAAAATATGGGGACTCTTGTTATTTGTGTGTATTTATTTGTGTGTCCCAGGGCCCCTTCAGTACGTACTCCGAGTTTCTTGATAAGCGTCGGGGGGGGGGGCGTCACCCCCGCCGACAGCCCCACATCGACCCTGGTCGCGGGCAGCCACCGCGTGCCGAAGGCGCTCCGACCCCCGTCGCGGCGCGACGACGAGGCGAGGTCGACCCCCCGGCGGGGGGTAGCCCCCATGCTTATATCAAGAAACCCAGCGTAGTTGTGCTCTCTTCCATTGCAGCGTGCAGGAGCCTCCCCCCCAGAAGTAACGCCTGGCGGCGGCGCCCAGAGCTTGTCCATGCTGGGCCAGTTGGGCACTGCCGTGGGGCCGTGGGGCACCGGCCCGGTTGGCGGGAGGGCCTTCGCAAGGAGGCGCCTCGCACAACACGAAGGCCCGCCCACGCGGGCCGGTCGGCGGCATGCGTCCAAGGCGGAGCGCTCTGGCTCGCCCTCCCTCCTTCATCAGGCCTCCATCCCTCCCTCCTTCCTTCTCACCCCTCCTCCGCTTCCTCGTCGTCGTCGTCGTCAATGGCGTCGTCGTCGTCGTCGTCTTCGTCGTCGTGCTCCTTCTCCTCGTCAAGGCCGCTCTCCTCTCGAGCCTTTGAGAGATAAGCGGCCTCCCCACGCGTGCCCGCTCGCGCCCCCAGGCCCACGGCGGGGGGACTGCGGACCGCGAGGCGGTGGTGCCCGCGGCTCGCGGCGCGAGCGGGGGCCAGGCCCCCGCAGGCTCCCCCTCTTCTCCCGAGGCACGCCCTTCCTCCCACCCGCGTGCGCGCGCATGTATGTGTACGTGCTGTTCATCACCATCGCGCGCATCATGAGTCACCAGATCAAGATCGTAGGGTGGAACCCGTTCTCGGCCATAGGTGTGGGACGCATAGACGAGATTTCGGAGGAATTTAACAAGGGGCACGCGTGCCAAGGATCATACAATGACGATGTGGGTCCATGGGAGATGGAGAAAACCAGGGATCGCGAGGGAGGCAGTCCTTGGCAGGCGGTGGGAAGCGCGCCGCAATTGCTGCGACACGTTGGCAAGGGACAGATTCGAAGACGGGAAGGGGCGGCTAGAAGCATG